AGTGCCTGAAAGCCTTTATAACTTAATGACTAGTCTGTTGGCCTATGTGAAAGGAACCATTGGTCTTGAGCCATCTCTTAATGGGGTCTACATCACACACAAAAATGAAAAATCAAAGCAGCAGGAGTCCTCATTGGCAGTCTTGGAAGAGAGGCCAAGGTCAGAAGGGTAACACTCCTCATCTACTAGTCTCTAGTCTACTACTGCCAGCATATTGGTAGGGCAGCATGTGGAAGCCTGTGCTGGTTCTGCCCTTGCTGTATCTAGCCTGTGGACAGAGGGCTTCAACTAGAAAGGAGAATCAATCAGCATTTTCCATCAACATTAAATGTACATTAAAGGTGAGCAGTAAATATGTTTTAAAAAAAAAAACCAACAGTTAGGTGCTAAATGCCTCAGATAACTGGTGGGAGAGAAGAGGGGCTTTTAGCACATTATCAGTGTAAAGTATAGCTTGTAATCTCCACATCTGACATTTCACAACCACTATAGATCTGCAACTCATGTCCAGGTGAGGACACACTCACCATGGAACCCCGCTCTAGACTGAAGCTGGTCACTGAACCTGATCTAATATCAATAGGCAATGCTCAATCCAATAGGCATTTTCCCATTGACTTGAATGAGGATTGGATCAGACCCAAGACCATCTGCTCTGAAACGTGCTGTAGACTTTCATATTCCAGCAGGAGTTGCCTTATCCCACAATCCAGTAGAATCTGTAACTTCCTTTCTGGGTCCAAGCAGATGTGAAAGGCAGTATGTCCTGTTTGGTAAGAAGCAAAAGGCACTTGTAGTTTGCTTATGTAATCTGAGTGATTAGCAAGACCTTTTAAAGCCCAGGGGAATGTCTGATCAGCCTGAGCCCTGGACAGTAGAGTTCAGCAAGGTTATACCAGACAGGTCAGTTCTTCATGGTGTTGTGCAGCTTGAGATAACAGTAAGAAGACTTCCTGCATCAGCATATTTATATCCTTGTGCAGTGATCCACATTGATGTAGTAGTAACTTAACTCACCTGTCAACAGCTGCACCCCTAAAAAGATGGTTACTGCTGTATTAACTTAAGGGTGTATCGAATGGAAACTGATGTGTGCGGACATTTATTCCCACCAAAAGGAAATTATATTAGTGATACCTTTGTGTATAGACCAGGACTAAAAGAGTTAAAGGAGAAAAGGCCCAAATCTTTAAAGGTATTTAGGTACCTAACTCCCACTGATTTTAAATATGAATTAGCTATGTGAATACAATTGAGGATCTGGGCCCAAGAGGCTGGTTTTGTGGCCTTTTCTTCTTCTTCATGGTGTATGGTGAAGAAAAGCCTGACAGTTATTTTATCCAGGTCTTTTGTCTTTTTGTTACCTTACACTCCCCACAGTCTCCTGTATCCACAGGTTGCCTCTCTTCATACATTTAGACTGTACACTCTTTAAGGCAGGAACCATCTTTTTATATGTACATGGTCATTGTTTGGAGCCTTAGGCACTACTGCAATAAATGGTAAGCTTCTTATCTACCCTGGAAGACTTTATGGTTTAGTTCTTCAAAGGCATTAAGCACCTGATTCTCAAACTGAAATCAATGGGAGTTAGCGCCTAAATGTCAGATCTGGACCAATGTGACTTCAGAAATCTCTTGCTAGTTCTCATCAGCTTACTTTTCACTTGCTTCCAGTCTTTGTAATGCCTCTGTCATCTTTACTGGACAATTAATTTTCCCTCTTCCTTTTGTCTCCCTAGGAGGGCGGAATTTTAAAGGAGACTGCTGAGTAGATAGGGCTTTCTCCTCATCTCTTTACTTATGTGCATCTGTAGCCAAGCAATAGTTAGAAGATAATGAGGAAGATTTGGGATAGCATGTCATAGTATATGAACAGATGTATCTTTCATCTGCAATTTATTTTTGTGTAACTTTAAGTGTTCCCTTTAGTATCTTTTATAGGGGTAACGCAATTTTTTTTCCAGATACAGGCCTAGGAAATGATACCAGAACAGTAATCTGCAGGTGTGTATTTATTTATTAAGAGGTATTCATATACATTATTTTAGTAGAGGGTATGTTCCCACCCACCCACCAGAGTAGAATAAACTATCAACATATTTTCACATTTATTTTTGTTTTACATTTCAAAATAATTTGGGGTTGTGTGAGGAGACTTGAGTAAATTAGGCAAAAAATAAGGAAAGTTTTTAAAAGAATGAAGGGGGGGGCAGGATGCAAGTTGGTCAGTGGTAAGAAAACCGACGAGGCAGATTTGGCAATGGGAGAAATGTGATGAATAAGTCCATGATTAAATGGCTGCCAGTGTGTGTGCTGAAAACATTCACTTTTAAGCGGGCATTAGTATTTTCTCCCAGTCAAATATGTGCAAATGTGATCTAGTGAAGTTATCGAACGGACATACATGTCAGTTTTGGTTAAGGAACTCACCATGTAATATGCCTACTTTTGTGACTAGAATGAGGAAACTAGATAAGAAAATCTTCCTACTCACTGCATAACTTTCACCCAAACTGAAGGATAAGACAATATTTTTATATAGCAGAATATGGCAAAACTCTGCTGCAAGTGATTGAGCAGAGTTAAAACATTACATTCAGTATACAAGACTTTGTGATTTCTATTCAAGGATCTGAAGCATTTTACAAACAATGTAAACTCCACAGAGCATTTGTGAGACAGGGTATTTTAGCCATTTTCCAGACACTGAGGCACAGAGTATTGAAGTGACTTGTCCAAGGTTAAACAGTAAATGTGAAATTGAAGAATTCAGGACACTTGGTTTCTAGTCCTGTGCTTAAACTACTAGAATATGCTTTCTTTTCTCTAAAACAGATTTTATCCAGATTAAAAAAGAAATCCTGGTGGCAGAAAAGTATACACACAAAGAAACTTTGCTACAGAGAAAACTGCTAGACTGCTTCTTCCCGCCACCCCGTCTCCCTCCTCCGGAGACTCCCTTCTCTAGATTCATTTTAACGCACAGAAACAGAGGGAGGCAAATCTTTTCCTTGGTGACGGATTTTGCCTTGCCTTCCAACATGACACTGTGACACTGTAAAAGTGTAAAGTCTCATTCGTTCATCTTTTTTTTTAAACGATCCCTTTATGTAATTGATCAGTGTAGGAATCCCCCTCCCCTCCAAACACACAGCACACACACCTGCAACTAGGACCCCAGAAGGGGAAAGGGGCTCTCACCCATACTCAGAAGGACCCTGCTAGTGAAACGTTATCACCATAGATTCCCCCCGCTCCTATGTATATTGATTTTGCCGGAGATTGCTAAACTGCTTCCCTGACACATTGTGCAACACCGCATTCGCCGAATTCTTGGCTGTTTGTTTAGCCCGCCCGCCCCCTCCTCCTTCCCCTCCCCCTTACGCTGCTGCAGCAGTGGAAACGGGAGTGGGGGAAGGGGGGGCCGTGCTATTGCATCAGGCTGAATGGGGAGTGATTGCGGGAGCTTGAGATTCAAACCCAGCCACAGGCTCTGCACACGCAGTGTCACAGCATGGCTGCTCCCTCCCACTGCCCCAGCACGGGTACAGCAGAGAGCTGCTGGGCAGCATGGCATCCGGGCAAAGGCGGCGAGGCCAGGTCGCCTCCAGCCAGCGCCAGGGGAAAGCGCCGCCGAAGCAGCAGCAGCAGCAGCAGCAGCAGCCGTAGAAGAATTCGAACTGCCCCGGCTGGCCAATGAGGGAGTGTATGTAAATGAGCCCCGCTCCCCGGGCTGCTGCAAAGGCCTGTCTGCCGGGCGGGCTGGGCGCCGCTCGCGGCTGCAGCCCGGCGGATCCCACGGGTCCACCTTAAATCTCCCCAATGGCCGCTTGAGCGATGGGCTGTTTTCCCCTAGCCCGGGCTCATTGGGCTCAGCCGACGCCAATCCAGTTTACAACAACAAGCACGACCAGCAGGGGGAAAGAGAGAGAGGGAGAGAGAGAGAGAGAATAACCTCTCCCTCCCCCACCTTCCCTCCTAGCGCAACTGCAGCGCGAGCTGGATTTTAAAACGAAAACACACCACTTTCCAAAGGTGCCCGCCTTGAGCCGCCTCCCCAGAGCCAAGCCATGATTTTGGGGGGAGGGGGAGGCGCGAGGGGGTAACGTGAACACGCCGCGGCTCCCACCTCAACGCCATGATTGTTGCAACACTTTACCAGCTGGGGGGCCGGAGTGGGAGTTGGGGGGCGGGGGGGGGACGTATTGCAATGATGCAATCCTGCCTTCGTCTCTTTCTCGGTGCTTTTGATTTGCATGTCCCTGCAAGGCGGGAGGGGGGGCTGGTTTGGTCTGGCTTTGTTTTTTCCCAAAGGGAGGAAGCTTGCTGAGCGGGGAAGATGAATTGTGAATCACTTGGGAGCGTGTTTTGCCTGCTGTTTTCGTTCCCCTTAGCCACACACCCTAAGGCAGGAGGGAGGGTGCCGCTCACCCAGGGCCGGGCCGACGCACTGCTGCTCGGTGCTGAGGTGTTGTTGGGAGGAGGGTTTCTTTGTAGCGGGGCATATAGGAGACTTATCTCTGCTCCAAGCGGGAGGGGGAGGGGTATTTTGAGTTGACTTTTGAAGCGAGGGGGGCGGTGACGGGTATCAGGTGGAAACGGTCGCCAGATGAGGCGTCCTGGGAGAGGACCCCTCCTGCAATGCCCGGCTCTAAACGTCGCCTGCCTTTTGGGATGGCGATCGTAACCCCCTGCACTCGCGTAACCCTTCATCCCGGCCACCCTCGCCCGTTGCCGCGCTCAGAGCCGCGCAACTGCTCCATCTCCCGGGGTGTAGCCGTGCTCCCGATCCTACCCTGGGCACCCCCAAACAATCCCCCCCCCGTG